GGTTCAAACCCACCAGCCACTCCTCGGAAGGAAGGTTGGGCATTCCTACTTCCGTAGTGATAACTGCCTTGGAAACCCAAGGAGGGGTTGCTAGGAGTCGGGGCCGACTCGATGGCAAATAACAACAACAACAACAATGTAAGAGACTAAAACATCTTGGGATTTTGTTATCTGCGAAAGTGGGGGTGGAGTGGGAGCCATGTCCTGGAACCAATGCCCTGCAGATACCAAGAGACAAGTGTAAATACTAAATTAAAATGCCAAATGTATGTACACCTTAGGGTCCTGGCAAAAGTGCATGCTATCTGGTCAGAGACAATCTGAACTGTGTTCTCACAACACTGTGTTCTTTTCCCTTACATTACATGTGTGAGGCTTTGTGTGCCAACTGAGCAGTATTTATGGAGGGCCTACAACATACCAACCATCTATGTATGATCAGCTACTTATTTACTGGATATGTCCCCGATAAGAATATAGGTGCCATGAGAATAGTACTGCTTCTTTTTTGCTCAGCACTGGGCAGTACAACCTAGTGGAGTGCGTGATACAACTTCCGTAGTGATACTGCCTCGGCAACCCAAGGAGGGGTCGCTATGAGTCGTGGCGACTCAACAGCAAACAACAATATGGTTGAGTTGCTTTTGATGTATAATGACTCCCATGTGACAGAGCAGAAAAGCCCCATAGGTATTCCTAGGGAAGGAGCTCTGGTGGGGTTGTGGTAAGACATTTAGCTGCTAACCAAAAGGTTGGCAGTTTGAATCCACCAGCTATTATTCTCTGGCAGAGAGATGAGCCAATTTGCTTCTGTAAAGATTTATAGCCTTCAAAACCCTACGGGGATTGCTATGAGTTGGAAGTGTCTCAGTGGCAGTGAGTTTGGTTTTAGAATCTTTAAAGAAGCAGATTGTGAGGTCTTTCTCTCACAAAACTGCTAAGTGGGTTCAAACAGCCAACCTTTAGTTTAAGCAGCAAGGGCCTAACCACTGCACCATTAGGGTTCCCTGGTACATGGCAGGGGCTTAATAAACATTAGTCAAATGGATTGGGGTGAAGTGGGGGGAGGGGCCACTTTGCATGTAAAGGAATCAGTGCTTTTTATTGCCCAGAACACTCATGATCCACCAGAGAGCTGATGAATTCTGAAAGGCACCACATGCAATGCACAGCTGTAGGCATAGCAGCTGTCATGCAAAGGAGCCCGAGGCCCAGAATGAAGAATTCAGTCCTTTGTTTCTCTCCGCCTGCCTCATAACACAATGAAGTTAGGTCCACTGTCAATCTACCTGTCAGCTGTATGTCTTCAACATGTGGCTTTCAGAAATACTAAGTTAACATTGCTGTTGAATGAAATTTATGTTGATTAGCTTTCTGACATCACTACATGAAAAGATTTTACTTACACGTCTGAGGTCACATAAAAACGAAATAGAACTCAGTCAATGCAAAAAGTTCCCCGTTTCAAGTCTCTGCAAGCTATAAATTAGCCTTCACAAAATGTTTAATTTAAAAGCAAAATGGTTTGACTCATTAAACTTTCCAAACTTCAGGTCATACAGAGCAAACAAGTCTTTTTACCAGTAAGTTGTTCAAAACAGACTAGAAGTTCCAAAAGTGAGCTTCCCGTAAGACTTTTAATAAAAACCTAGGATTCAGTAGGTCATATGCTGTTCAGAGTAGTTACAAAATAACAGGATAAGAAATATTAACCATAGAGCTCAATATGAAAATCCAATGATCTAAAAAGCTATACATATGCAGATGGATAAATCCTTACAAAGTTAAGGCTTTTCTCCACTCAAGTAAATGACTATAAAAACAAGGGAATAAATAAAAAAAGCAAAGGAGTTATGAATTATGTCCGAAACATGCACACTAAAGTATGCTGGAAAAAAGCCTCAAAGTGATGTTGCTATTAAGCCGTAAATATATTTAAATATGAGTTAATTATGCTTAGTGGCAGGGCGAAGAGCCACTCCCACTGCCCCAATCTCCAGGCTTCAGCAAACCACAACTTACCTGGAAAGGCTGGCGACATCTGTAATAAACATACTGACCACCAAATAAACGAACAATCTGAATTCTGTGAAGTTTGCAAACAAGCACTAAGTTTAGTATCAACAAAATACCAATACTGGCTTAAAACAGTTAAAAAAGAAAGACCCGAGAATTTTCTAGACCACGATTATTTGATTCAGGATCAGAGTGCATTTAATGATTTCAAGCAGCAGCGATTAACTCATGTTCACAGCAGGTATTTAGTATGAGGCCTACAAACTGCCTCTTGGATGATCTAGCTGTGTTTGCATTCTGCTGTGAAATACAAAAAATATGCAGCTGAAAATTCTAAATAGACTTGTCTACAATTTGTAACACAGTTTTGAAAATTTTCCAAAATAGTTTATTTACATTGTAACTTTTTTGACATTATGACTTTTACATCTTAATATGCAATGTTCTGAATAAAGTTCAGATGACTACAAAAATGCACTTGTTAAGACTAAAGGAGACAAAAAGTAGTAATAAAAAATTGCATTAGCATTAGTAAGACAATACCATACACTTCCTTGGCATGTATTTAAACTGGATATTATGAAAGCTTCACAAATTCACATTAAAATTCTTGATTTTAAAAAACCCCAACAATGTTTCAATATGCCAGCTGGAAATAGGATACATTCAACCACACCATTCTTCCAAAGATAAACTACCACCCTCTCTTTTTTAAAGTGTGACTATACTGTATCTTTTGTTTGCAAAACGAACATACTATACTTTTCCTGCTTTTGTTTGCAAACGCCATATAACAAAAAACATTACAGTTGAGTCAAAAATAGCACACTCTTGTTACCTTCCAGTTTGCTAAATGGTAAAATTTCCTGTAAGACTTGCTGGACTGAAACCTTCACCAACAACCAGAGACTATTTTAGTTTTTCTTGTTTCCCGTCTCAGCACTGCCACGAAAAGCAGTGCGCGTCTCCGGGGCCCTTATGTGGAGTGGAATGCTCTGCGATCACTGCACTGTTCTTCAGGAAACGGTGATTTTCCTTCTCTAACAGAATCCGACGACTGCTACTTATTTCTAAGCAGTTGGTGAAGGCCCCAGCTGACCCCGCAACGGGCGCACGTCCGAAACGCCAGCAGCTCGACTGAAGTTCCCCCCAGCGGCCCGCGGAATGACACAGGCCCCGAACCTGCAGAACGGGAGACGGCGCTCCGGGAACACATTGCGTGACGCCTATACTTATGAATAATGCAAAAAGCTAAAAATACACTCGGATAGATGACTTTAAATAAGACTTGACATTATCCCCCTCCCAAGTTGCAGTAATTTATTATTTTCGGGGAACGAAATGACAATTCACCCGCAGCCGACTCCGCTGGCACTCACGACTGCTCACTTTTTCGCAGCCAGCTTCCAACTAACAAGTTAGGAAAGCGGGCGGGCGGGCGGCGCGGCCGTGATTCAGCAACGGGCTGGGCCAGGCGGGACCGCGGCGCCGGGACGGGCCGGGCTCAGAGCAGCCGGGCGGCCGAGTCCTGAAAGGTCACGGGGCCGGAGAGGCAATGTTACCCCTCCTGCGGCCCGGGCCTGAGGCGGCCCGGTTTGGGTGGCGCCCGGCCGGCGGCGGCGGGTCCTACCTTTCTTGCTTTTCGGAGAGTTCCGCTTGCTCCGGGCGCTGGCTCGCTCTTCCTCAATCGCAGCTGCTATCTCAGGGTTGTCTTCCCCATTGTACCAGACCAGGAGCTCCTCGCCCGGCGCGATTGGCTGCGGGAAGAGAAGGGACAAGCACCGGGCCAATCAGAAAGGCGGTTGTTGGCGGGGGGGCGGGGCGCGGGCGCTGGGCCAGGGGCGGGAGCCGCGGCGCCGAACGCAAACAGCTGGCCGCGGCGCCGCGCATATTTTCTCCCCGGCGGTCACCGGGGAAGGAACCCTCTGCTGGAAGGAGGACCTCACTTCTCCGGCGGCGGCAGCAGCGGCGGCTGCTGCTGCGCTTCGCGGAGGTTAGCCAGTCTCGCGGGCCGCAAACGGGCAGGAAGGAGCTGCAGAGGGTCGGCACCCTGATTCCACTGGGGGCCGGCTGCCCGGCGTACGCACATAGACACGAAGGTGATTAAAGACGGGTCGTTTTCAACTCAAAACTGCCATAAACTCTCAAATCTTACTTCTCAAAGCTTCCCGACTACCCACGCAGAGGAATAAAATAAAACATGAAACAGTTTTGCCCACGAAAGCTAAATCAGTGAGAAAGTTAAAGGATAATTAAGAAAAACCAAGCGGCATGGAAAGAGGTGCTGAATGCTAATTACCAGCGCATGTTTCCATTCCAAGAACAAGTTAAGCAGGTTCACATGGAAGAAATATGTGCCGTTCCACAGTTATAAATGCACTGCTATTTATATTACCCAGAAATGCAAAAAGAGGAGGCAGTGAGGGGAGGTAATGATCCTAATATTATCTCTCTGTTCCCACCAGCCTACTCTGGACCATGAAAAAGCACTGGTTTGACATTTGTACCAGACATAAGATTATGAATTACATTTTAGAAGGGTATGTCCACAAACACCTCACCTGTATTGTTGTTGTTGTTATGTGCCGTCGAGTCGGCCCCGACTCATAGCGACCCCCTCCTTGGGTTTCCGAGGCAGTATCACTACGGAAGTAGGATTGCCCAACCTTCCTTCCGAGGAGTGGCTGGTGGATTTGAACCGCCAGCCTTCTGGTTAGCAGTCAAGTGCCTTAGCCACTATGCTACCAGAGTCCCGTTATGCACCTAAAACACTGAATTTTTAACAGGCATATATGACAGGGTGAGTGGTGCGGACACAGACCACTGCCATACTGATTACACCTAGAATGAGATCCTGAAAAAAGTATACTGAGTGGCAAGATTAGACCCCTAAATAAAATTTGAGGGAAGGGACTTCTTATTTCTCTCACAATGACATCAGTGCACAAAGTTCCAAGGTATCAATACAAGTAAAACTGCATCTTAAACCACTGAATAAAGTAAGAATCCTCGAGTCTGCACTTACATGAATGAATGAGTAAACAAATAAGAGTGTAATCCTTTCCTTAAAATAGAATCCCAACTGATCAATGAAAGAAATGTTGGAATTAGGAAATCATCATTTAGCAATCATCGCAGTAATAACTGATTCAGGCAAGGCATCATCAATGGATGTTAAACTAGTAAGTTAAAGTTTTAGGAATTACAGAATATTTGCATAGTCTCAAAGTAGATCCCCCAAATATTAATTAATTACAAAGGGAAAAACAGAATCTTCATTAACAAGACAAAAAGGTATCATATCCCTCCTGACAAGATGCCCAGAGAAGAACACTGCACCACTTCTGGGTGATTTCTGCCCAAAATGCATGAACTGACTTTAATCACGGTGAAACATCAAGAAAGCCCGAATTGCAGGACAACATACAAAATAACTGGCCTGTATGCTTCAAAACTGAGAAGGTTATGAAACACACAGATAGGAACTCCAAACTAAGAAGACTTAAAGAGATAACTGAACGCAAATGAGTTTTTTCTTATGTTCAATAAAGGATGTGGCTGGAACACTTGACAAAATGTGAATAAGGTATATAGATTAGCTAATAATCTGTTTCAATGTTAAGCTTCCTGATTTTGATAATTACTCTATGGTTAGGTAAGAGTTTGTCCTTTTTAAAGGGGGGAAAATTACATCTAAGATACCATTTAGAAACAAGGTATTTTCTCATTTAACATATCTTCTAGTCTAGACAAAGCCCTAGAAAGTCAGTCTCTGCAAAACTCTCACTGTGTATATGTATATATGCGTGTATAGATATCCACCACTTATCTGTCAGTTTTTGTACTGTGGTAGCTTGCATTTGCTGTAAGACTAGAGCCTATGCCATCAGTATTTCAAATACCAGCAGGATCACCCATGGTAGACAGATTTCAGCGAAGCTTCCAGACTAAGACAGACTCAGAAGAAGGAAGGGGCCATGCATTTCTCAAAATCTTGGTGAGTGAAAACCATATGAATAGCAGTGAAACACTGTCTCATGTATTACTGGAAAACTTTATAGCCCTTAAACATTGTCTGACATAGCAGCAAAAGATGAGCCCCTCAGGTCGTAAGGCATTCAAAATACGACTGGGGAAGAGTTGATGTCTTTGAGTTGTGCTGTTGGTGAAGAATACCATAAGTACCACGAACTGCCAGAACAAACAAATCTGTCCTGGAAGAAGTGCAGCTGGAATGTTCCTTAGAACCAAGAATGGACAGACTTTGTCTCACCTACTTTAGTCATGTTGTCAGAAGGGACCATTCCCTGGAGAAGGATATCATGCTTGGTAAAGTGGAAAGTCAGAGAAAAAGGGGAAGACCCTCAATGAGATGGACTGACACAGTGATTGCAATGATGGGCTCAGGTATAACAAAGATTGTGAGGCTGGCACAGGATAAGGCAGTGTTATGTTCTGTTATATACAGGGTTGCTATGACTCAGAGCTGACTTGATGACACCTACCAACAACAACAACAAAAAAAAAATAAATAAATAAAAAATATATATATATTCCACATTTCAAAATAGTGTAAATTCTTTAAAATGAAAGAACCAGCCACTATTTCCTTTGCTCCCCAAATATGCCATTTTCTTATCTTTGAAATACCGTATTTCTTCCCTTCTTGAATCAGTTAAACAAATAAAAATGTTAATTCAGAAGAGTTTAATGAGTTAAAATAGCCATTACAAATGCCTTTGGTACTCTGATAGCCTAACTTGTTTCTGTTGAAGAAATAGGCCTTTTTTTTTTTTTTTTTAATTAAACTACTTCTAGATTATGGAAGTTCCAAATATACAGTTTGTGGCTCTGTGTTTCTGTTATAAGTCACAAATTTATAAAATGGTGATATCAAGTTTGGAATCACTATGGTTCATAAAAACATGAAGTTTTAAATAAAACCAAAGTAAAAAAGAACATGAAAAGGAAACAGAAGAAAGGAACACAAGGAAAAATTGACTCACGATATAGTCCTAACTCACACAGCATAACCAGAATACTGGTGGAAGACAGCACTTGACATTTTTAAGAGGCCACCAGGAATAAAAGCTGCAGTTTCCATGTTCCCACTGCAATCTTCTGTAGAGGGCGACCTGTACTAGCAGTTTGGTGAAGTAAAATATCAATACAAAATCTAGTTAACAAGCCATTCAATTCCTAAGTTACCCTTTTGTTGTTATAAAGCACATCAAATAAAAGCATGCCAGGATCCACTTTTACAGCAAATCTAATATAAAATTTGTAGATGGTCAGTGGGCTTGTGTATAGCTAGATTGAGAGCAACCTAATTTGTTAGCTGTAAAACAACGTCCAAAATTAACCAAATGCAATGCTCATTATACTATTGAGGTATATACTCCCAACTTCATGTTGAAACAGATATACAAAATGGCCTTCATGAAGAGGAAAATAATGTATTTTTCTATATCACTGATTGTTTTCTGTACTACTGTTTCTTTCTGTACTGCTTAGCACTCATAAGCATGCTTGAATCAAATTTCAGAAAAAAAGGTATGTGCTTAAAACTCAGAAAACATAAATGCACATTTAAAAAAATAAAGTCAAAACACCAAGCAACCTTTTTTTATATAACATCATATTTTAATGTTATAAATAAAAGAAAAACAAGAAGAAGAAGAAAATTTAAACTCTTAAAACTTGCCCTTTGGGTTCTGGTAAGCTTTATAAAACTGAGCATACTATCCTCTGTAATTATCCATATATACAAACTTTAATTTTACCAGACCAATTAGGAAGAAGCAAGGGTTCTAATAAATATTCCCTGACACTAAGTTAAAATGCAAGAAATACTTCAGAATTATTAACCAAATAACCAGACGAAGTATGCTCATTCTTACCCACCTAAAATCCATTCCCACACAGCAGTCAGCACAATCCTAAAAGTGATAGGACAAGTGCCAAAACTCTCAAATGGGTTAACGGAACTTAAAACTAAAACCCATACTTTTCCTGGTGGGTGTGAGACCCACCTCAGCAGCCCCTACCCATCTCCCTGTCATCACCCCCTCAAATTTCTCACTCCTGCTACACTGGTGTTTTCCAGTTCTTTTAAAAACAAACAAAATCTAGCTTATTCCTACTTCACATTCTTTGCTTCAACTGCTCCCTCTTCCTGGACTGCTCTGTCTCTCTCTCTGCAGATCTTTGTTTGGCTGGTTCCTTCTCATCCCAAGGTGAGATTCAAATGTATTTCCCCAGAAAGGCCTCCCCTGACCCACCAGAACTAAAGTACTCCTTCCCCAACCTAATCACTTGCCATCACATCTTATTGTCTTCATATCACTATCAAAAATTATTTTGTTTACTTATTGTGTAAGGAGCCCTGGCAACATAGTGGTTAAGCACTTGGCTGCTAACCGAAAGGTCAGCAGTTTGAAACCCAGCTTCTCTGTGGGAGAAAGATGAAGCAGTCTGCTTCCATAAAGATTTACAGCCTTAGAAATACTACAGGACAGTTCTACTCTGTCCTATAAGGTCATTATGGGTCAGAATCGACTCAATGGCAAGTTTGGTGGTTCGGTATTTACTTATTATCTACCTCCCCCATAAAATAGAAGCTCTATGAAACCAAAGACCTTGTCTGTTCTGTTTACTCATATTGAAGAATACCTAGTACAGAGTAGAGCTTCAGTAACTTAATTCTGAACTAATGAATATAGGAATGAATG